TTACGTGCCAATTTTTTCACAAGTTAGATAAATAGAATAATATTGTGGTGCCTTTTGCTGTATGCTGAAGTCGGAGGTCCCATTGAGTTTTTGTAGCCTTTCTTATAAAGACTCCTCGTTTTTATAGAGACCAACCCTCTTCCTCCTTTTGCTTTGGTTTGTTTCTCTGATTTGGGATCTTCCTCTTTTTGAACTGTGATCTGATTATGTCATCATGCAATATTGATTCCTCCTGTGTAAAAGGTGTCTGTTTACATGAGTATGACCCACGCGATGCGCTCGTTTCACAGGGACATTTAGTCACTGACGCAACCAAGATGTGTAGGGTAGTTTCCTCGGATGAACACACATCGGTCATTTATGTCCTCGTTCGCTGCCTGTCAGTCATTTCTTGTTATTTCTGTAAAAGCAGGAACGTTGGGGAGTTGTCGAGGGAAAGTGACTCCAGATTCCTCGTGTAGGTATTCAGGGTGCTGCCATGACATTGGTGGTGGTTGTAGTGTGCGTGTACTGTATGTGTGTGTGTGTGTGTGCGTGCCTGTATCCATTCTGCACGCCTCATGAAGCCTCATTCGGTTGGCGCCTCTGTTCACCGTGGAGGGTGTGATCTCTGTTGTTTGACTGTCACGCTCCTCTCCATCGATCCTCACGCTGCCAGAAGCTCCATTGCACTGTAAGAACCTCCCTCCGTGAGCAGTCATTGGCCAGGGAGCTGCCGATCCAAACCGAACCTAACCAATCCAGTTGTAATCCAGCCTGACTCTGGCCTCCCGTGGACTGCCTAGCCCGCTCGTTTCCTATGCCAGCAGCTTAGAGCCGCACTGTGTCTCAGGACTTCCCCATCACATCACAGCCAAAAAGACTCAAAGCAGAGAACGCACGTCATCTCAGTCACAGTTCAGTTCGCAGGTCAGATCGACATCCCCTCACTCCCCTTCTTTTCGCCATCTATCAGGTTTCTCGCGCTTACTTGTGGCTAAAGGACGGTAAACAACGCGTTTGATTAAACTTTTGGAATCAGTAGGCGGATTCAGTTACTTTTTTTCTTTAACTCCAAGAAGTTATGTGTGCGTTTAAGTGAGCATGTGTGTAGCCGTGTTAAAAAGATGAAGTTGTGCAGAGACGGCATCTGTTTGCGCTCTGATGCAGGGGCGTAACCTTGGAATTCTGCCCCCACCACTGAAAGGTGGATCTCCCTCTGGGTTTCCCATTTTCGCTCTTTTTCCTTTCAAAAAAAAAAAGTGTTTGTTTTCTTTTTAAAAAAGGATATCCCACCGAAAGCTACGTGGGCTCACATTTTGCCACACTAGTGACGGTGCTGCTCCGATCGGGAAGAAGCACCATGTGCGGGTTCACATTGCTGGGAAGAGAGTTTCCGAGGCTGATTCTACCTTTTTAGTTAGCTCACACGGTTGTATATGATAATCCTGATTACTGCATCCTTGATTTGCATTCCTATACCTTTTATCAACTGAACTTTATTTGCTTGGTCACACTGACTGACTGAATGATCTGTTATGTGTGTCTCTGTCTGCCCCTTCCACCCACCACATCGCAACCTCACCGTCACGTCTTCCTCGCCCTCCTACAGAAGCAACTAGCAGACAAAGTTAAGTCCAGTGAGTAAAACCAAACAGCACACTACCAGTAGTCCGATCATGTCAGAAACTCTTCCACTGCAGATGTACATCAGGTTCTGAGACCCTTAGAGAGACCCTTTGAAGTTCACTGAGGAAAATGATACTGTGTTAGATACAATGTGTCCCGATTAGACTTCATTTCCAACATGTAGAGTTTTGTTTTCTTTCTTTTTCCCCCCACACAGGCAATGCATGGATCACAGATATAGAAATTATCCCCTCAGATTTAGGGGGAATCGTATGATATGAAAATACAATTTGGGTTCACGGCCCAGTGGTCTGGCTAGTTTTGTCTTACTATCACTGTAATCAATCTGGGATTTGCAAACGATTTGAAATTACTGCAAGTGAGGATAGTGTGCTTCTAGAGCTAGTCGAATTGTTGACAACCCCACCCTCTTTCTCCTCGACCCCACCCCACCCCTCCCCCGCGCTTCCCACCCACCTTTTTTACGAACACACGTACTTCTCTCACGCACGTACATCCATATCCACAATGAAGCACACACACTGAGCACACAGACACACAAAACCGTGCATACACAGATACACTCACACAGCCCCTCTCATGTTTGTTTGTCAAGCAGTTTGTCTTTTTTACCTACCAACCTATCCTCCTCCTACTCCTCATCTTCCTCCCCTCCTCTCAACCCCAAATCCCCTGCATGTCCTAGTGGTACTGGTAGTTGGGTGCATGGAAAAAGCAGCAAGCAAATCTTTTTTTTCCACTCGGTGAAAAAAAAAATAATAATAATAACAATAATAAAATGAAATAAAAAACGTGTCCTCATTTTAACATTCAGCAATAAATCCCCTTCTCTTCATGTCCATCATTCTTGGAATATGCTAGAAGATTTTTTGCAAGTTTTATCAAAAACATACTACTTGTAAAAGAAGAAAAATCCAAAACACCCCTTCATATGAAAAATAAAACTTTATTCCTACCATTTTTGAAACAGTCCTGTCATCTTTGTAACTGAAATACTGCGTGATTGCCTCTTTAACAAGCAGAAGGTCTGAGATGATCAGAAGCATATCCACTCTCACTGAGGTCATCTGAAGCCTAGGGCAGGAAAGAAAATAGCTGGAAACAGGGTTTGGAGCAGTTGGACCTTTCAACTCACAGAGATTACTTACACACAAACACTGACCACATTCTTTGAAACCTTAACCACGTGCATCCACAACTGTAATAGTAAGGAAAGTTTTCATTACTACTAAAGGTTTAACTGTTCTAAAGGAGCAAGGAGCTAAACGATCACATCTTCAGTCTGTTACCAGAATATCAGATGATTATTGTGTATTTAAGCTCTCAGTTTTTAATTAATCAGGTATGCCGACACTATTCACAGCCCACATTATGACATGAACAACTAATAATGTCCATTATTATCTAATTTACAGTTGATCAAGAACAAGCTAGGTTTCTGAAACGTTTGGAAGCTGGGAACCAAAAGTTACTTACTGTGGACCAAAGGGTCCTAACACTAACATACAGCACACATTTACAACCATTTGTACTCTTAGCTGCAGCTGAAACTGTTTGTAAGACTTTGCCTAAATACTTCAAATACTTGAGGCACAATGTGTCACAATCCTGCAGAGGTTTTTACGGGATCAGAGATAACAAGGGAAGGAATAAAAAGGAAAATATGCACTCTTTATAAGAATATTATCTAGAATATTACAAAACAACCTTGATTTGTGAGCTCTTTGGCTTAAGAGCTGTGAGCCCGGCTGGGATGTTCAGATAAACAGGTATTTTGATTCAGATTCATGTTGATGGTGATGACACACATTTTCACACAAAGAAACAGAAAACATCCCATCTTATGCATATAATTTGCTACTATGTACATGTAGGGATGTAAGACAGAGAGGAACCACAGTTTATGCCTCCAAACTGCTACAAACACTGAGGAGGGAGCGTTTAGGTAAGATTGGTTGGTGATTGTTGTCTTAGGGTTTTCCCAAACTGATTCACACTTGTTTTCCATGACGGCTGTTGTAACACCTTAGTGTCAGGATTGCAGACACACCACATTATTTAAATGCAACCGTTTTTAATCAGAGTTCTTGTCTGACCTGATAGGTGTGCGGATCACAGGAATCTGCCCATGAAAAGATTGCCAGGTGATGAAGTCATAATTAAGCTGCTAAAAAAGAAAAGATTAGGTGGAGATGTAGGGCGGCACAGAAGGAAGTTCTGTTTCCAAACTGATGTCTGGTTATTCATGTGCACAAGATGAACTGAATGAACTAGTGAAGTTTCACACCCACACTGATATGTTTTACATGGTATTTTCTCTGTGATTCTGGGGTAGTGACACCAACAGCTGATAAATGTTATTAGTTTTGTATCGTCTTCATTTCTTATGAAACACATTGATGTGTTTCCCATTGTTTGTGGGTGGAATTTCTCTTTGTTTCACAAGTGGGTGTATCCATGCTGCTTGGCAGAACCCGAAGCAGCCTCCTCAGCCAGAGGGCTCAAAGGAGGAGCTTCAGCTACAGAGGAAACCTTCCTGATAGACTGACTCACTGTATTTTATCTTTAATTCTTGAGTAGAGAGTTTACTCAGACTAAATGAGACAAAACTGTGCTGGACAACGCTCCTCAACTAGATAACAACAACTATGTGATTATTCCGTGAAATAGAAAGCCTTCATTAAAAACAGGTAAGCAAAGAAAACTGCTGATATCAACAGCTTCATTAAACCTTTTAGGGTTGAAGTCATGGTACTAAATTGTGACTAAATTTAACTCTACATAAACGTTCCTTTTGAACTTGTGATAATTATCTGCTAAAAACCACACTACTAAATTTGAATCAAAGCACATGGTTTTTGATTGGTGGAGTCAAGATTGCGCATGGCTTTGAAATGACCAGAAAAAAATTGCTTTGCATCTCAATGCTTACATGCCAAATGAGCCAATTATACTGGCTGTTAATCATCATGTGATCAAAAAGAACTCAGCTAAAATCTATTTTACGCACTCGTTTGTGAGATCACTGTTACATGTGGTCTTAGTTCATCTCTCTTTTGCAAATCTTCCATTTCCTCATGCTTCTTCACTTCATTTCTCTGCGGAGCTTTGCCTCTCGATCCAGATACACATAAATCCGCTATTGTACATTTAATGATTGTTTTATATTTTGAAACTCAGAAATTGTCAGATGTCAGATTTCTTCAGTGTAACTTGGTGTTTGTGTATTTGCAGCTGAATGGCACGGTGTTACTTTCGCTGGCGCAGGGTGTTAATCTGTGTGTGCACGCCTTGCATCTTCCTGGCCCTGCTCTTTGTCTACGTTGGTCTCACGGTGTGTATGAGCATGAGGAGCATGACAGCACCAGCGAGTGAAATCATGCCAAAGAGTTCTCATTTTGTGGCCAATGGAATTTTAAGAAATAAGATCTTCGTCTCACTCCCTAAAATTTTCTGGGAGAACCAATGTCAGAAAAGGGCTTTTTGGAACCAGCTCCAGCTGGTCGTTGACCGTCAATTTAACCCCATCCTGCACCCCCACGAAGCCAAGGGATTAATGAAGAATATCAGCTTTGATGATTTCCTGCTGAAGAAGAGTTTCTCTGCAGTTCGCAGACTCAACAACATGACATATAATGTTGACGAGCTACCACAACAGGTGCAAGACTTCACCAAGTACATGCAGACAAGAGACTACCCGGTTCTCCTCCAGCCAGGTGGAGAATGTGGAGCTCAGGGAAAAGACGAGCGGGAGGACCCTCTGATTCTCTTCGCCATCAAAACAACACTGGATAACTTCAACAACCGACAGGCTATTCGGCAGACCTGGGGCCAGGTGGGATGGGTGGCAGGACAGAAGATAAATGGCAGTGGCAGAGATAATGGTGGAGCCTATGTCCGCAGGGTGTTCCTGCTGGGCAAGCAAAACACCAAAGAACCAGGTGTGGATGTGTCTGCGTTACTCAAGTTGGAGAGTACGCTCTATGGAGATATTCTGCAGTGGGACTTTGAGGATACATTTTTCAATCTCACCTTGAAGGATGTGCTCTTCTGGAGCTGGTTCTCACACTCTTGCAAGCAGACCCACTTTGTCTTCAAAGGAGATGATGACATCTTTGTCAACACACCAAAACTGATAACCTACCTCCAGATCCAGATGGAGAAGCCGCATGTGAAGAAGAACATGCACAACTTCGTGTTTGGGGACGTCATAGGAGCAGCTTCACCCAACCGAGTCAACATCTCAAAGTACTTTATCCCACACAGCTTCTACAAAGGGTTGTACCCCGCGTATGCAGGCGGGGGAGGGTTGGTGTACTCGGGTCAGTTGACCAGACGTCTGCACTTAATTTCTAAAAGAGTTCACCTGTTCCCCATCGATGACGTGTACGTAGGGATGTGCATGGTTCGACTCAATGCCTTCCCCACGCACAACCACGCCTTCCTCATGTTTGACTTCCCCAAAAATGAAGAGAAAGACCCGTGTTCGTACCACACCATCTTAGTGATCCACAAGCGAAGCCCCAAACAGGTGGTGAAACTTTGGGCTGACTTGAAAGAGACACAGGCACAATGTCGACATGTGCCTCTGAGAGTTGAAGAGAAGGAGAAAAACAAAATAACCTCCAGCACTTTGTAGCCACCTTGAAATGCCTCTGGGCAGCTATACGGGCAGATATGTTGTTTAAGTTCAGTGGTCACTGAGACATAAAAACTGCATATAAAGAATAACAGGATTGCAGTAAAGGTTAAGTGGAAAAAGTACAGGCTTGGAAATGTAAAGGAACTCCTTTAAAACACTGAATAATGTGAATGACTAGCAGTTTAATAATAATTTGCAAAGCATTACATTATTTTTAAATATCTTTTTTCATTTCTTTCATGCTCCTGTTTGTACTATGAAATTAAAATACCTTGCAGACTGGTTTGTTAAACTTTGACTACTTGCTTACTTTAAGCATGCAATAATGCAAAGTTTGAATGCCTGCAAAATGGATATAGTAGGAAGTATGAGGGAATGAGGTGGGGTCATTGTCTCACAAACAGCACTGTATAAAACAAAAACTACACACAATATTCGAAGCACATAGTGCACTGTGGGAATTTACGACTGTGCGTAAACCCCCCCTAATATTGGTATGAACCAGCTCAGACGGGGCTGCATCAAGACACGAGGACTAAACCCCAATTCAACCAGACCCAGAACTGATCCGGAGTTAAAACAGGACTACAACAGTTCAAAATCAGGACTACTTAGGATTTAACCAAGACAGAACCAGAATCAGAACTAAATGAGCACTAAAATCATCATAGACCTGCACTACACTTATTTTTTAATTCTACCAAAGTCCACTATGTAGATTCACAAAAGTTTATATAATTATTTAGCCTTGTTGTGCAAACAAGCCTGCAAAACTTAATAAATATAGAATTTGAAAAATAACAAGCCTAAAAAGAAACACTAGGTACGAGATACATGAGGACCTATGATACAGTGATACTTTTGGTAAACGACCATTTGACTAACATGTGTGTCTCACCTGCTCTTGTTCATCTCTGTTCTGTCCTCATTCTCTCTCTCCCTCTCTGTTTCTCTCTCTCTCTCTTTGTGCTGAAAATCAAAGCCAAACACCAACATCATCAAATATACAGTTGAAACCAGATATTTACAAACTCTTCAGATAAAAACAGAAACACTTTTTTAATTGTAACATCAAATCAGACTAAATGGTTTTTTTTTTTTAGATTGATAAACATAAAAAACACATTTGTTAACTTTAAGAGTAAAGAGAGAAACTATCTGTATTTCTTAATTGCAAATGGCACCAAATTGTATTCAAAATTAAGCCACACTTATGGAGCTCCACAGTTCTTTTCCTGGTCTTTTGTTGACATCTCTTGATTTTCCCAT